CCTGCTGCTTATGGATCTGATTTAGACCTTGCTTTAGCTTTCAACATTTCTTTAATTAAACAGCTCCACTAAGCCTTGTTAAGCCACTAATGGCAGTACAGTTAGTTAGATCAGTCATATCTAATTGTTCCTTTCACAGATGAAAGTTCTGTAGCGTTTGTTTATTTAGGCTTTATCAATCACCACGGGAGAAAAGTTTCCGCTTACCATCAAAGAAGACACTCCGCTATTAGAAATAACATTAATAACCTTATCGTGTTTCAATTTTATCCTTCTGCCAGTTATAAAATTATAAGGAGTCTTCAGGAATTCAATTTTCAAGTCATTTTCTCGCCTATGAATAAAATCCATGTTTCAACTCTTAAAGATTCCATTTCTAACTCTAATTCTTGGGGAATTTATAGCACATCGCGTCAGTGTAATTTGAGATACATCGACCAAACTAAGACAGCATTAAAATTTCGTATCAAGAAACACGAATCTTACGTCCAAAAAGGCGAAATTAAGAAATCTTTGATAGCTAATCACTGTTGGAAGTTTAATAATAATTTTGACTTTGGGTCTGCAAAAATCATTCAGAAAGTTTCTTCATTTGGTGAATTGGATTTTCTTGAAGCTTTCCACATTCACAAAGATTTATCTTCTTCAGTTTAAGTCCAATTCAGTCCTTCCTAACTTTTTTAAAATTCTATTAACTTAATTTTTCAGTTTCGTTAATATTTTTGCCAATAGATGGCGCTGCCTTCTTGTTCGCTTTACTTTAGAGCAGCGGTTTTCAGACTTTTGACTAACGCCTACCATATAAACAAAACCGAAAACCGTTACTACCACCACTACAAAGTATTACCACTCTTAAACAAAGCTCAGATCGCATAAATTTACTAGTGTTAGAGAAAATACTCAAATTACGATGTTGGGGTTTTAGTTTTTGAATTTAACAGTTAAAAATACTTTGCTTCTTTGCGCCTCACCTATTTTTCCCTTGCGTACCACCGGTTCTCAACCTTTTGACTAAGGCGTACCATCTAAACAAAACTGACCACTACATTTTACAATGATTGTTTTTCAATTTCTCGATTGAAATATTAAAAAAAAAATATTTTGCCATTTGCACAACCTATTGGGATTTGTATTAAAGAAGCACGCATAAAAATATTAGGTTAAAAACTGGTTACCATTTTAATCATCTTTAAGATTATAATTTAAGTTATAATATTTTAATTCTAAAATTTAATGCGAAATTTGAGCCTGTTTAAGAAAGATAAATTTCCTTATGTCTGGTCTTATTTCACTTAGTTTTAACTGTAAATTAAGATCAACTTTTAATTTTCTTCCGTATTTATTTTTCAAATATAACATAGAAGAAAATCTTTGTTCACACAAATACGTTGAGCAAAAAGGCAATAAAAGTTTAATAGCTTTATTTGAAATGCCTTCAAGTTCTTTTTTTCGGTTCAGCCAAAGGTTTGCAAGTGTGTTATTTTTGAAATCTTTAGTTAGAGTTCGATCACAGGAATTTCATCAGTTTTCTTTTTTCACGAGAAAATTTCAGGTAAATTTGAACAAAATGGATTTCTAATCCAATTTTCTTTTTCATAATTCTCGGGAAAGTACATGTTGAAATTATTTATCAATGAAAACAATAATTTTTAATATCGGATGCTAACTCTTATTCTAATTTCAAAGTATGTTCTGTTAGAAAACTTTCTAAAAGTGGTGAAAAGCTTAAAATATTAGTATCCAATTCTTTTATTATTAGCTCGAATTTTTTTATAATTGCATTCATTTTATTTCTAATGGTAAACAAATTAACACTTTGTCCTTGTAATCCTAAATATATTTAATTTAACTTTCCATAAATATCAGCTAAATATGGTAAACGCGCCAACCATAATTCCCTAAATAAACATTTTTGCAATCCAAATATTTAACCATTGAGGAAAATTTGAATGTCTGATCGAAATTTTAAAAGACGATTTAAAACTTTGCTTCTGGATAACCACCTTACTCTGGAATGCAACAAAAGCGTTTCATGTTCAATGCTCATCTCCTGAAATAAAGTCATATTCTCGAAGCTCGGCTTTTAATAAAATTAACAATTTTTACAGTTTGATTCAAAACGATTTTCAGGTTTTTGGGGATTGTTTTAGCTACCAAAGCGTCACGATGAATGGAACAGTGAGTAAATTTAGTTTTAGGTCCTACTATTTTTATTTAAAAATAACACCTGAATGTTTCCCTGTTCAGGCCCGAGCTCCGTCACTACATATAGCAATGCACTTATTCCGAGAAATATTCTCAGTCATAAAATTGTTAGTTACAGTAGAACTCTAATAATCCGAATCAATTGGGACCGGACCCTATTCGAATAATCCAAAATTCGGATAATTGGATTTTTTCCGAAGAAAGGTTCTACGTACACTTTAATTAATTACTGTATGGTATGTATGTTGAAAATGAGTGAAAAAACTATTTTTAATAAAAAAGAGGTTTTAATTAATGAAAATGAAAAGGCAACACTTTTGCGTACATGTCATATAACATACTGTATATAATTGCTGAACAATTGCTGAACATCTCGGTCAAAGTAAGCTGTTTGACGGTCACCATGCCTGCGCTTAAAATTTCTTAGTCAGCCGTTACTTGCTTTAAAGGTTGAACAACCAAGCTTTTGAGCTGAGATCTTACCTTTTTCAGAAAGAATCGGACTCGAAATTTGGGTTCCCCATAGAACGTTGCTGCAAAAACTGCTTGAAAATGACATCTTTTAAATTTTTATTTCTTGCTGCATTGATTTTCTTGAAGCACTTCCATCTTCGTTTTCGAGCAGTGACACGAAATTTAAAAGTGTAGGTTTGCTCCTTTTAATGTCTGAAATCGTTGATTTTCCAACAGTATGTTTCCGTCTTAATTTTTTTTTCTTAAACTCTAAAAGCGATTCGGATAACCGGCGATCCGGATAGTCGGAATTCGGATAACTGGAGTTGTATTGTACTTTGAAAATTTAATTTTTAGTTTCTCTATCATGTAGAGATTCACAAAATAAATACTCTTCGGCAATTCGTTTATCTTCTTCGAAAGGTATGTAAACTAATAATTGAACAAAGTTCGTTACATCAGTATTTTCATCCAACTGCAATACGAAATACTCATTGTGTTTTATTTTTTGAATGTCCCTTTTATGGAATTTGTCATTTTATGAATTTGTCGACCGAGTGTATTATATGATAACAGAATATTGTTAAGTTCATTAGCTGATTTTTCATTGAATAATGTTAAAACGATATCTTTAGGTGATGGTAATGTAAGGGTTTTCTCCAATAGTGTGAGCCTGTTTCAGTTTCGGCAATTCTTAGGCTTACTAGGTAATTAGCTTCTAAAGCTTTTTCAGTTGCAGCAATAAACACCCTTTATTTCTTGTTTACAATTTTTGAGCTTCGATAATGTTTTCTTAAGTATTCTTCACATTTATCGTCTAAATTGGCATGCTTAGCTTCAAGAAGTCTTTTAAGAAACAATGTTTCATACTTTGACTCAATAATAGTTCACCGCAAACAACACATTGAGATTAATGGTCCATTTCATCTCCATTCCAAGAAAACTCAAATGATAAAATAACTTTTATTATATTTTCTATAAACAATTTTTCTTTTCTTTTCAATATTCTTAGTGCTCTTAGATTGTCTTGGATCCATTACCTGTGAATTGTTACTATTCCGCTTAGTCAATCCTAGCCATTTTTTTTCATTTTGAAAATCTAAGTTTGTTTTATTGTTTTCTTACAAATATTTAAATGCACAATATACTACGAGTTCTTCAAAAATAAAGGACGATATTCTCAAACCTAGTAGAATAATAAGGAATACAAAGCAATAAGAAGACAAAATACCCGTTGTTAGAGACAGAAAATTGACATAAAATGTTCTTCTAATTGATTTGAGCCCGGAAATGGTGGCGACATAAAGTGTAGACATTCTAATAAATCAGTCAAATCTAAAAGAATTAATGAGATACTATTATATTTTTATAGGAATTTATTTTTATTTACTATTAAAGACAGCACCCATTTCTATTACTCCTTTGAAAAACATCATTTATAACAAATTTTGTTATATCTATGGCTAAAAGAATATTTGTGAAAATATTTTGCTAAAGTCCTTGAACAAAGCTCAGATCGCATAAATTTACGAGTGTTATAGAAAAAACTTTAACACGATGTTGGATTATTTAGTTTTTGAATTTCAGAGTTAAAAATACTTTGCTCCTTTGCGTATCACCTATTTTTCTCTTGCGTACCACCGAGAACCGCTGCACTAAAGCACTGAAACAGCCAGCCCCTTCACAACGATTCTGACCTCGAACGATCCAGAAGAGTTCAACGCTCTTATCTGCTCGGCTTCTGATGGGATTTTATATGGAAGCCGTGATCCTCCGCGAAATGCAAAATGAAGTTTGCAGGACCTAATGAAGATGATATTTTTTATCCTAAAAATTTCCTAAATTCTGCAATTTTTTAATACAGTTTCATTGCGCTTTTTGGTGGCATATTATTTACAGTCTTGTACCTGTCAGTGTTACAGAAATCTGCCTAGTAGCTATCACTTTTAACATTTTATCTATCTAGTTCTTTAAACCAATAAATCAATTTTTAGATCTCGAAAAGAAAATGTCAGGCAAAATAAACACTTATTTTTCACTTTCAAAATTAATTGTTTAGTTTTTATAAACTAGTTCCCAGTGGTTTCAAGCTTTAAAACGGAAATTTAATATACTATGCTATACTCAAACATTTTAGTATTATTAAAAACATTTTATACATAACACTTGCATCATTTTGAGAAACGTGGTTTGTGGAGCTGTTCCCTACGGAGACGCAAGCCGTCAAAATACAGCATCCCGCGCTAAAAAATAATACCGCGTTGTTTAGTTTGTTCAATAGATGGCGCTGAACGATAACTCAACATCCCAGTTACTATAGAGATCCACATCATTTGGGACGTTGCTCCGACAACTAAAAGTTGCATCCATCACATCTGTGTGATCGTAAGTTTCTAGCCCTTTACTCATAAAGTTAAGAAACCTTTTGAAAAATAATTGGAAATATCTTAGCGCGTTTGTTTCTTATACTTTTGGATTAAATGTTTTCTTGCTACTTTGTAATTAAAATCTTAGATAATTCGTGGGGGTAAGTGAGAATTTGAAATTCATAAAGTCGTTAATTTCAAAAGTTTTCGGCATCTTTTTTAGTTAATTTCTATTATGCTATATACTTGCTATAATAATAGAATTTCTATTATGCTATTGCTTGATTTCTTTTTGTATTGCATTTCTCTTTATTATTTAATAACACTTCATAATTTCCTTACGTATTTTGAAACAAAACGGGTATTATTTTTGTCATAATTAACGTGAGATGAATTCGTTAACATTTGATAAACATAAACGAATGATAAGCAGGGGAATTATGATAAATATTTTCTACGTCATGAGATTAAAACTTAATCCAACAAATTTATTTGACATAATTAACTCGCCTGCGAATTAAAAGTGTACATAGATTTTGCGCTTCCTTTATTATTAATTCATTTTGAAATAATTGTATATCTTGAGCAAAAAGTTTTTAAGTTTAAAATACTTTGGTGTAATACTTCATCTTTCATGGGGCAGATGTAATATTAAATAAAACATAAAAAATTACACAAGTATCTAAAATTATTAAATTAATGAATTATGTATCACCGTCTAATGTTAATGAAGAACTCATAAAATAATGGAGATTGAATTTTAGCGCAATATTTAATCAAGAAAAGTTTCATAATTTTGATAATTTTTTTTGAAATTGTTGATATGCAAGCATACTTGAAATAGAAATTTCAAGTATGCTTGCATGTCAACAATTTCAATGTGTAGAAGAAATTTAAGTCAAAAATTTATGTGTAGAAAAAATTTGTAACTTCTTATTCTGTAACGTAAGCAATAATTTACACCCAAATTCAACAGAAACTAAAGAACTGTTGGCATGATGTGAAATTATATGTTAAAAATATGCCTTCCATGGACAGTGCTATATATTGATACTCTTTGAATATTTTACATTATGGTTTCTTAATAGATTTACTATATTATACCATGTGACTTTGTTATATTTTATTGCAGCTTTGTAAAACTCTAATGTTAGGTCTCTCAGTATATCAAAATCGCGCATAATATAGGCTTCTTATACGGTTGAACTGAACACTGAATAATTTCCCTTATCTTACTTCTGTATACACAGCGGTCTAATGAATACGCTTAAAACAAAGTTATCATCAGAAAAAAAATTACAGAAGTTTATTTTCACACAATTATATACTTAGGAAAGTGGTTTATACCTGCGAGTATTATAAGATCATTAATATTGATTTATTCCAAAGGAGGATTTCTTTTTTCAGAAATGTTGAATTACACTGCCTTATATAGCCTGCAGGTTTTCAGATGCACAGTAAAATAAGTAAGAATGCTTATCTGACAGGTAATTTTAATTTAAAAATCGTATTTTTAGATCCAATTTCTGTCTTAATAAATAAAAAAAGAAAGGAACCCCATTTCGGGCACTTTTTAAACCATCATGATTTTTTTATCTAAAACCAATATCACCTTTCTCTTTTGTGATAATTATAAGGAATGCTTTCAAATTTTGCGTAGATTTCTAACATAAATAGTAAACCCAGGGACACAGGCTCAAGTTCTGAGATGGTTTAAGGAAACACGATCAGAACGCAGGAGAACTGCAAAGTTCCCTGTCTTAATCATCTGTCATTCTTTGGAGGGCTCTAGGGTGATGTCCAGATTACTCCCGCTGCTGACTTTACACATTTAAAGAGCAAGCTTAAAAAGGCCAACCGAGAAAGTGAATACTGACGTTTTAGAAATAAAACTGCCTGGAGAATGACTGCCGATTAGATAGTGCATGATGTGAAAAATGGTGTCCATGCTGGTCTGTGTAAAAACTAGAATCTGTTTTTGAATTAAAATAAATTGCTTATTCATACCATTTCACATAAAAGTTTTATGATCGATTCTAATAAAATATACATTTTAGGAACAACGTTAAAGTTGCATTTTACCAAACGTTCTTAGTTTTAATGCTTAGGAATAACGTTAAAGTTACATTTTACCTAAAGTTCTTAGTTTTAATGCTAAATGTATTTTTATCGCTAATACTTTTATGCGCTTTTTACGGGCAAAGTGAGGAAGCAGCCTTCTTAATGGAGATCAGTTTCCTCAGAAAAGCCCACCTTTGGTTTACATAACAGTATTCATATCATAAAGTAAAGTAGACTTTGTGAATAATGGCATGTAAAAGTGGTTAGGAAAAAATATTAAAAAAAGATTACTCATATTTTAATCCGTGGTTCTTTTCTTTGAGATTTGGTATTAACTTTTTTTCATGTAGACGTGTGATCATTACCAACACCCAATGACAAAATAGTGACAACATATCTATATTTAGAACTTTTAAGCAATATTACAATAGATTACTTTTAAATGCAAATGAATGATTCAGTAAAATACGCTTCATATAAATCGCTTTGATATTAAGTTTATTTTATTCCATAATATGGTAGTTATTTACAGTACAAATAATATGAAAAAAATCAAGGAATTATCCCTTTTCCCTGTAAAGATGAAAATATTAAAAAAACATACAAGAATATATGTGCAGTGATGGAAACCTTCTATCACCATTCTCTTAATCGCCAATCTGGAGTCATAATGTTTTTAAACCGATCATTGAAATATAATTAAATGGATGTACTATTTCCAACTAAGTGAAACTATTCAGACGTTTTCTTGATAAAAGTAGTATTAGTAAATATAAAATATGTCCTTTTAAAAATATTTTTTATAATTTTTGTCTCTGCTTGTTTTATGTATACTAGCCTGCACTACTGATTTAATGCAGTACTATAAGAAACAAATCTGCCTTATTTTGCAGTAAAGTTTCTTGAAATTTTTCATGCATTTCTGAGACTTTTTTTAATGCACGATAACAGTTTACCACGACACATAACATTGTCAGTAACCTTGTTAATTTTTCTGTGTGTGGAATAGATTTTTTGGAATGTTTGTCAGTTAAGGAAGCTTTATGTGCACTTAACGAGAAAATATTACTTAATATATCGATGCTTTTATAATGAGACATTTGAAATTGTCTTACGCTTTTAAAAATAGTTTATGTATCTTGTTTTAATTAGCTTAAATATTTTACTAATTCCCCAAAATGATTAGAAATGTTTTAGGATATTACGGAGGTACTCAAATCACTGAATGTTGTAAGATAATCATATACTAAATTTTGGTACTAAAATGCTTTAAGGATTACAAATAAAGTGTTTGAAGAGTGAATAAATCTACATAAAAAGGACTAAAATTCACGAATAATTTATGGAAATTTTCTTTAGTTTAATACTTTGTCGAGATTTCTTCAGTTTAAATCTAAGTTGCACAATAAAAAAATGTTGAAACTTAAATGTTTGAAAAAGAGTACTTAGAGTACATTAAGGTTGCAATCTGTCTTCTGCTAAGATATGTTACACGATCAGGAAATGTCTCATGCAGTAATTGAATTGTTTCATTGGCTGTATGGCATGTGGCACCGTCTTGTTGAAACCACATATTAGCCACATCAATATCATCCAATTTCGGCAGAAAGAACTGTGTTATCATGTCGCGATATCGAGCACCATTAACAGTTGAAGAGTTGCTGCTTGACCTCTCAAAAAAGTATGGGCCGATGATGCCTCCTGCCGAAATTCCGCACCAAACAGTGACACGTTGCGGGTGCATTTGGTTTTCGCTAATCACACGTGGGTTCTCTGAACCCCAAACACGGCAATTTTGGCGATTAACAAAGCCATCGAGGTGAAAATGTGCTTCATTGCTTAGGATTATTTTGCTCGAAAAACCAGCATCCACGTTTTGATGATTAATAAATCCATTCCACGAACTCTTATCGCTGTTCATGGTCATTAGGCTTCAATTGTTGTGTTAATAGAACTTCGTAAGCATGAACACACAGATCTTCTGTTAGTATACGCTGTAGAGAGCTTTTTGAAATTTGCAATTCTTGTCCACGACGCCGAATTGATGTTCCTGGGTTTTCCACCAACACTCTCACGCACTGCTTCAATATTGACATTTGAACGGCTTGTTTTTGGAAGACTGGGGTGTTTAGCGTCTCCAAAGTTGAAATTCAGGAAGACAGGAAAGGAACTTTTAACTCAAAATATAACTGTTAGGAAAATCAACATAGTGCTTACAGAGACATTAGTTTTTTTTTTATACTGGAGATGTGAAAAATGTACATTGCCCACGCCGGGATTCGAATCGAATCTTGGACCTCTCGAATACGTGTCGAGTCTGCTTCCAATTACATACGAAGGCATGGGGAAAGAAGGAAGAAAATACCTTATACAGTTTTTTTTGTATGATTCTAAAGTATTCGAAAACAATGTGGTCACCAAGTAGTTAAGAGGTTAAATTCTCAAAATGCTGGCAGTTGCCTCTGGGTTAGTTTTCAGGTGGCTGAATGAGTTAAACGCTTGGAAATGTTTGGTTTTTCTTCCGTGTAATGTAAATAATATGAGCAATTTTTCTTAGAAAAGTGATTCCTAACGATATTCATACACTCATGCAGGTAATTGTCGAATGAGCAACAATTATTCGACAGCGTAATGTAATCTATTCTTAGAAATGGTTTTTCTTAATATGAAGACATTCATATTAATCTGTATTAGTTTCTAATTTTGTTTAACGAGATTTACACTTGATCTAGAGCCAAGTGACAGTGATATAAAAGAATTGATTCTGCTCAAAGAATGTCTGATGTACTAAAAAATTATTCGAAACATTTTCGGATAATAAACAATGATGCTTTAAATCATCAGAATGTTGCGGAATGAAATATAACGCAAAATAACTGACAGGCACCCCCAAAATCATTTAGAATCAGTTTTAATGTTATGCTGCATGTATGAATACTTAAAAAGCAGCCAGTATAG